AAAAATTCGGTGTATAAAATTGGATGTCCAAAATTGCGATGCAGCATCATCCGGGCTACTCAGACAGGATAAGCAATCGAGCCCTAATGCAATCAAACTGACTTGGCCTATCAGAGCACGGCTTTGTCAGTCATGTGTTCACAACAACCCGGGAGAAAAATGACGGAGAACAGCGGGGCTCGCCGCTCGGGTAAGTAGTCAGTTTGTGCTCTTTATCTTACAAGCAGTGAGGGCTCGACAGCATTTGTATCTTACATTAGCTAGCTAAATGAGTGAAGTAGCCTTGTGCCTTGCTGTTAGCAAGCTCCGTAGTTATCATTAATTGAAGTGAATCACAACGTTACCGTGTCCTTTTGTGTGTGTGTGTGTGTGTGTGTGTGTGTGTGTGTGTGTGTGGGTGTGTGTGGGGGGGGGGGGGGGGGTTTGCAAAGTAACGTAACGATCACTTCGGTTAGATAAGTCAAGTAGACCATGCTACACTATACGAAATACTCTCTTACAAAAGCCCTGCATTTAAACATGTTAATGTTACTTTAGTAAAAGTATGCTAGTATAATTAGGAAAGTGTTGTTAGAGTATTTAAAGTAGACACAAGTTATACTATTATATTATATCATTTGATTTATTGTTATTACCGATGCACGAGTTGACTTAACTGTTGTAGTTGGAGCTCATTTGAACAATGAGCTAACTAATTATTACTTTCATAATGGTGTAATGTGCCAACTATTTTCTACATTAATAGATGAAGGTCTGGTTTGTTCAAACTCTCAAAATAGTAGGACCAGAGCCCGAGAGACTCTAGGGCTCTGAGTAGGACATGCTGTCATAATTACCCAGAGTCCGAAGTGACACCTTTACAATGTTAAAGCTGTTAGATAAATGTAGTGACGTAAAAACTAAAGTATTCAAGATAGTGTAGTGGAAAAGAGATAGTTTTTTTTTTTTTTTTAAATGTTACCAAAACAAAATCTCTTGTTTTGGACTGACAGCAATGATTCAAGAAATAGTAGATAAATAAATACACACACATCAATTTGTTGTGGATGGAACACAACAAATGGTGTTCTTACCTGTGATGCCTTCTCCACACATTATAACCAGACTGTATCATTCAAACTACAAGTAACAGTTCTAGCTACTTGACTTCAGACAAACAATTCAAAAGACAAAATCAACACAATTTATTTCTCTCCTTTTGTTTGTGTTATTAAACCCTGTCAATCTAAAAAACTGAGCAACTCAACAGTTAACTTTATATTTCTTATTGTCCAAAGCATCTATTACACTATTTGTTCCCCTCTCATATTCACAGGATGGATGATTAGAGACTTTGGGGGAGACCTCAGCTTTATGAACGTCCTGTCTGTTGCTTTGGCCAGAGAGGGCTGAGGGTCTTTCCCTGCGAGGAGTCCTCCTCGCAGGGAAAGACCCTGCAGACCTGATGGAGGAGGACCAGACCTGATGGAGGAGGACCTGCACCACCTACAGAACTTAGCCCATGCTGGGCATAGCTGTTACCACCTGCACAGGCCTAGCCTGTCAATTAACAGATTAACATTGAGTGTAACTTATGTATATTATTTCGTTTTTATTTAAAAAAAAAATGGTGATGGTTCATGCTTGATAACTTTTAGTTCACATTTCAATAAATTGTATTTGTACTCCTTTTGTCCGTTATTCTTACTGAAAATGTTAGATTACACATTCACATCTGACTGAAGATTGGCACCATTTATTTATGACTTTCCAAACTCGGCGGTACAAGGCACAAGTGATGTGAAGCTCATAAAGTGAGGCAAATGCATTTGATCAGCTGACTTTTTTTTGCCAAACTTTATAGGCCTGACAATAATCACACTGTCTCTGAGGTGCAACGTAAAACACAAAACAACACAAATGAAGTTCCTGTTAGACTACAAAACTATTCAGTGTGCAGGTCTTTGTGTTACAATACAAGTGTCTCTTAGTGAATGTCCTGTACTGCTCTTAAATCTCATCACATCAGCTTCTCCTTTCCCTCTTGGATGTTCTTCTGGACCCTCAGAGAAAGAGAACATGGTGAAGCAGTCCTGTCTCTCAGGCGTGTCCTTTCCTAACAGAAATATCAAAAAACATATTATTGCAGAGCAAGTGTGTTATTTAAGAAAGAGGTGTGTTTGTTTGTTCATAAATATAATGATTTTTTTATTTAAATGTGTTTTTTAAATCCAACAGTGTACTACAAAGATAATCAGATTATGAATCAACCGTTCTAAATTCATCAACATTGAAATAAATGTATTATTAAAATAATATTTAACTGTTATCAAAACTTAGTGCAACTGTAGAAGCTTGCTCTGTTCGGTTGTCTCACTGAAAGACAAAGGGTCGCAGCTCTCACTATGTGATGTTGCTTGGTAAAATGTAAATGTAACCTTTTGCTAAGAAAGTCCACTCCACATCACTGATGTGTAGGTGATCTAGTATTCACTCAGTCATGTTTAATGGCATGTATATCAGTGTATTGGAGTCATTACTTTATGCATTCTTTGTAAAGCATGAAAAAGGTGTACCTTGGAATCCGTGCTGAAGTTCTCTGCTGCTAGGAGTCCAGATCTGTCTCTCCTCCTCTGGTCCAGATCTGTCTCTCCTCCTCTGGTCCAGGTCTGTCTCTCCTCCTCTGGTCCAGATCTGTCTCTCCTCCTCTGGTCCAGGTCTGTCTCTCCTCCTCTGGTCCAGCCTGTCTGGATCACCTTGAGGACACTTTGAACAAACAGATGTAAAGTTACATGCATGGGTTACAGACTTCTTTACATGCAAACTACTTTTTATCTTCTTTTAAAAACAGGTCATAATCTTATTGTTATACTTAAGAAATGGCTGGATATCACAGTCCTTATACTGTATCAGTTTGATTGAGTATTATTGTGTAGGTCCTTTTTATTTTACTGTTACTTTGGATGAGGTTTTCATGAGTCAGTCAAATTAATTTGTTTTCATATGCCATATTCATATGCATCACACACGTAAGGGTAACACACAAACCTATTGAACAAATGCAATGCAATGGATAAGATTAATTTCCACTGAAGTCACAGATAACGTCATACTGCATCTAATATTTAAACAAATCATGTCCTTGTCACTAAAGCATTGACTACGCTATTCATCGTCCTTAAATGCAGGCATTAAGTTACATGTTCTGTTCTACAGCCACGATGAGGCTGTTTCTCAAGTGTGATGATAATACAATTAAAAGAGGCATTGGTAATAATATTAAAAACAACAATGTTTGGGTCGTTCGTCGGATAGGCGGTTAGCTGCAATAAATAACTCCAGTTCAACAAACCATATTATAATATCTAAGGGAGCGTTATTTCTGGACCATCTTGAAATGTGACGTTCATATTTTAAAAAGGTACACATATTTCATTGTGAGGTTGATTTAATATACACTAAGCCTCTCTTCAACAATACGTTGACTATAGCTAGTCTATTTTATGCTATAGTAGAGCATAGCGAATTTAAACGAACCTTAACAATGCATACAGTAACCTAAATAGAAAACTAACTATCTAACGTACAAGGATGACCTTATTTTAGCAACCTCGCACAGAAGCCTTTTAGTATACAGTAGCATCTCACTTAATGTTTTACACTCTTGGATGCTACGCATAGCATCGTTAGCACAGATGGAGCTACGATTGCTCAAATGCTAACCCAACTCTAAACATTCATTAACGTTAGCTTAATAAAAACACCAGTAACATAACATAAAGTACGCAGGGTTGACTTACCGAAGAAACTGCATTCATGGACGGTCTGTTTCAACCGCAGATAGATCCTATATTTGCAGGACGAATAGTCCACCAGGAACCAACACAACAAACACTGCCGAGTTCAAGTAGTGTTCTCCTCATGAGCTGAGCCGCTGTAGCATCACGGAGCTAGGAGCAGCAGTCCCGTTGTCATGAAGGGGGAATCTAACTATATACAGAATATGTTTTTGTAGATCCAGGCTAGAAACATGTTCATTTTCTGATGTTAAGTTGGACATTTTAACAAAGGGTCTACGGGAATTGCTCCCATCTGCATCCATCGCCTACACTTTGCAGCATTGGGCTTCACCGCACTGTCCCGGGGTTTGCCGCTTGGCTCTGATAGGCCAGAAGTCGGTTTGATTGCATTAGGGCTCGATTGCTTATCCTGTCTGAGTAGCCCGGATGAGGCTGCATCGCAATTTTTGACGTCGAATTTTACACACCGAATTTTTTTACATCGAATTTTAAACACCGAAATATTTGACGTCGAATTTTTTTCACTTGAATTTTTAGGATCTGAATTTGAACATTCGAATTTTTTTAACTTGAATTTTTACATTTTTATTTCACATAGATAAATTCGGAGCAAAACAAATTCAGATTCATGATTTTCAAAGTAATTATTTTCAATGCTATAAATTCGGTGTCTAATAAAATTCAAATACTTCTGTCTCTTGTTTGCTTCCATAGGGGTGGGTTTGAAGTCAGTCAGTCCGACTGACAAGCGAGTGCCTATTTTTCCTGGCTAAGGACAGGTTCGATGAACACAGCACGAGCGTAACGTGTCTTCACGTGGTATATGTCTCGTCTGAAAGGAGTGCTGAGAGAGCACCGGAACGCCGCTCCAGCTCTTCAAATATTGCAATACCCATAAGGAGCCGTACACATGCCGCAGTATTTGCGTGGCTGTGTCTTTAGTTGTAAGCACAGTGGCGATTTGTTATTAGCATCTGGTTAGCTAGCTATGCTAACGAATTTAAAGAGCTTTTCTACAACCAGGTGGAGAGCTCTCTCCTGAGGCTCAAATAACCTCAGCTCAGTGAGGTTAAGGCACGTGCCTTGATATGATCATTATAGTTATTGATGAGACATTAGATTAAATGAAAAATAGGTATAAAATAATATATGACAGTAACAAAAAAGTTGTTAAAAATAACAAGAATAGAGTTTAAAAGGGGAGTGATTTGTAAAATATCCCCCCCCCCCCAGCACACATGAAAATGGAAAAGAGATTGGTAGAGTATTATCCAATTATAAAAAACAGATCATCAAAAAATGACTGGGTAAGTGGGTTTTTAATCACAATGGCTTGATTTTGAAGTTTATGGCAAAAGTGTGGGTCTGTTTTGTCATTTTAAAGTGTACAATTTGTTTTCACCACGAGCATGTTGCTAAAAAGCTCCAGAAGAGACTCTCAAATGTCAGAAGCCCAAGGAAGTCCAAAGTTCCTCCTTCAAAGAAACAACGTAGAGATCAATAAATGGATGCAGATATTACAACAAATGACTACGATGGAGATTCCAGCGCATCAACAATTATTCTGGAGCGGTCCCCTGCAACAAGCCCCCCTGCAGCAAGCCCCCCTGCTAGAGCGAGCACCTCTTCTTCAGCCAGCCCCCCTGCTAGAGCAAGCATCCCTGCCCCCCCAGTGCCAGACCAGGATAGCAGTGACAAAGCATGTATGTATTTCATTAAATACAATCAGTATGCATTTAGTACAAACCTGCATTTTTCTGGTCTGTTTAAATCAGAATTGTGTCTGTTATTCCTCTTGGTGAAGTAAGTTTGGGCAGGTGTTTAGCAGAAGTACAGGCATCAATTAACACATTCTGTGAATTCAGATGTTCCTCCACTGTAATTTGGAAAGCTAATAATTCCCCACCCCCCACTCTTTATGCCTTCAGCTGGTTCCGTTGACCTTTTCGACAGCCAGAAAACCCAAGCAAGACACTACAGGACTCTCCAGGAAATGTACAAGTCCAAGAGGCCAAATAAAGCTGCGGTGGCTCATTTGATGAACCTGGAGTTTGAGTCTAGAAGACGATTCATTACCTCTGAGGTTCTAAAGGAGCAAGACAAACCGACAAAGATTCTGGAGGTTTACCCATGTTTCAGGGAATTGGATCATGTAAGTAAAGATTTTCAGCATTTACAAGTGCACATTTGAAGATGATTTATATGAAATGATTTTCATTTCCATTTGTATTTGAATGCTTCTTCCAGGTCATGGATGAGCTGCAAAGAATCATTCAACCCAAAAACTCCCGTTACATCTTGGAGGTGAAGGACAGATGGGGAAACTTTCTACTCAAAGTCCAGTTTTATGGTGTGATGAAGAAAGCCATGAAGCCTCCTGAAACCTTGAATGGAGGTAAGGTCTCAATACTTAGATAGATTTTTCCAAGTTTCATTTTGACGTATCATGATTAACTGATATTCATACTGCCTTATTGTGCCTTTTCTGTCAAACCAGTGGAGCATGCCACAGCTGTGTTCACAGCCCTGCCACTTATCTTCCCATCAAACACTGTGCCACCAAGGAAGCTGGGCACCAGCAGGGAGGCTCTCTTCCATATCTTGACGGTGAGACTTACTGTACTGAAGTATTTTTTGTTGTTGTATAGTATGTTGCAGTTATTCATGCTTGTATCCTTGTTCAGGTAAAGGTGTTTGTTTCTTGTGACGCTTCTAATCTTCTACCTTGACTTTTTTTTACCCAGACTTCAGAAGACCCAGAAACGTTCCTGCGCCAGCGGTCCCTGTCGTGTCCAGTTGTGCTGGTCTCTGAGGAGAACTGCATGATCGCCGTAGGAAGCACGCCTCTGACCACCTTTCAAAAAGAGCAGTTTGATGAAGAACTTCTCTACCTAATGACTTATTATTATGCCATGCACCTTACCTACCCAAAGTGCATATCCACACTGCTGTCTGTTTTCCAAACAGAAATCCTCAAAGATGTCATCCATGAACGCGACACAACCCAAAGCTACAAAAAAGCAATAGGCGAGTGGAAGGCCTTTATTGAGTGAGTGAAATGTGCCTAATTCTGCTCTGCAGGCGTTGTTAGTTGTTTTCCTATGTAACTGTAGGATGCTGCTAAATTCATTGTGAGCAATTTCAATTGGATGGTTTTCCCATTCATCAAGGTTTGTTTGTGTGCCCCACACTTCACTTCCATAGAGTAGAATAATTGTTTAAATAAAAAAGGTTTTATATAACAATACTTAATTTAAGATAAACATTCTTAGTTTAAGACAAAGTAACTAATATAGTGTGTCAATTAAAGCCAATGATTCTTATTGTAAGCTTTCTTTGCTAATTATAAATCTTAATTTAAGAAATACATTCTTAGTTCAAGACAAAGTCACTATATAGTGTGTCAATTAAAGCCAATGATTCTTATTGTAAGCTTTCTTTGCTAATTATAAATCTTTAATTTAAGAAATACATTCTTACAGTCACCTCAACCAGAAGACCAAAATACTAATTTTAAGTTATTCTTTCTTAAATAATGCAGGAATCATTGCTTGTAATAAGCATTTTTGTCTAGTTTCAAGGCCCATTACGGTCTTTGAGTAGCTAGATTTTAATTCTAGTTTTAAGAATTCTAGCAGATTTTTTTGCTTGATACAGGGAAATCTGACTTGATTCAAGAATATTTTGCTTCTTTTTGGAGGGGCTGTTTTTGCAGTGTACCAGTTGTATCTGGTTGGGCTCATCTCTACGCACAGCGTCGGCTCTGGAACCTTACTTCTGGATAGGGGCTGGACTCTATTCTTCTCCGGAGTTTCTCAAGGTGTGAGGTGCCGGGCAGGTGCTTCTTTGTTGGAGTTTACCCCAGTGGACGAGAGGGTCACCTCTCTACGCCTGCGGGTTATGGGGGGGGGGGGAAACTCTGACTGTTGTGTGCTTATGCACCAAACAGCAGTTCAGAGTATACAGCCTTCTTGGAGACCCTGGAAAGAGTTCTGTATGGGGCTCCTGAAGGGGACTCTTTAATCTTGCTGGGAGACTTCAACGCACATATGGGTCTCGACGGACCAGACCCGGGCGACAGAAGCTGGCTTTGGGGACGTGGAACGTCACCTCTCTGGGGGGGAAGGAGCCGGAGCTTGTGCGGAAGGTGGAGCGTTACCTGTTGGATCTGGTTGGGCTCACTGAGTTAGTCAAACAACTCCACAGTGGCAAAGCCCCGAGAGTGGTTGAGATCCGCCCAGAAATGCTGAAGGCTCTGGGTGTTGAGGGACTGTCATGGTTGACACGTCTCATCAACGTTGCGTGGAAGTCAGAAACAGTACCGAAGGAGTGGCAGACTGGGTTGGTGGTTCTCCTTTTCAAAAAGGCAGATCAGAGGGTGTGTGCCAATTATAGACGCCTCACACTACTCAGCCTCCCCGGGAAAGTTTACTCTAAGGTACTTGAAAGGAGGGTCAGGCCGATTGTCGAACCTCAGAGGAGGAACAATGCGGATTCCGTCCTGATCGTGGAACGACGGATCAGCTTTTTACTCTCGCAATGATCCTGGAGGGGGCCTGGGAGTACGCTTATCCGGTCTACATGTGTTTTGTAGACTTGGAGAAGGCGTATGACCGAGTTCCCAGGGAGTTACTGTGGGAGGTGGTGCAGGAGTATGGGGTGAGGGGGTCTCTACTCAGAGCCAGGGCTCGAAATTAACTTTTTTCCTCAGTGTCCCACAACTGTCCCGAATTCTTCTTTGTATTGTCCCGGATATAACCAGCAGTGTCCCAAATTTAAATTTGTATCGTCGCCCCCCCAATTATGCAGAATACATATAATTTGATACTTTTTTGTCACTTAATCATCACACCATAGACTCCACCATGTAAGTTTAAAATACTTATTCTTTTAAACATATGAATATTAGTCTGATCTGTTGCCTCTCCTAGAGTAGAAGGGAAGAGAGTTGTTTTAAGACATGTTTTTCTATTGTTTCTCAATATCCAGACTAATTTATCATTGTCATGTCAACATTCAAGAATTCTGATTTGTATTTTTCAATTCAATATGGTATGGCTGTATGGTCTCTGTGCTTTATGATCGGAACCCTCTATCTGGCAATAAAAGTGGTATGAATGATAATAAAAAAACAGAAGTTCCATAATACAGTTTAATAAATGTATCTGTTTTCAGTTCTAATTACAAGTTATACTCACAAGTCAGTAGTACTAATAGGAATATAAATTGATCTTCTATCTTCATTCATGAATGTCAATCATCTTGCTCTCACTCATTCACCCACCCGCCCCAGCAGATCTCCCCCTTCACATTTACTATTTACATGTATTTAGTCGCTAAACATGGGTCGTCGTGTTCTCTGGCCACTTTGCCACCACTTCTCAACTGCCTGCTCTGCATTATAGTCCTCAACCTCCGGGCCATGCAGAGATATATACGGAGGAGGGAATTTAGCATTTGGTTAGAGAGGGATCAGACTTGTCCAGTCAGACTTGATCCTTTTCATGCAGGAGAAGCCTCTCTCACAGCATGATGTTGACATCGGGAACAAAAGCAGTATCTTTACAATCATCTGCATGTGGGGAAACTGTGCAGGCCTCCCTATGGCACCTTGCAAAAGTCTCTGCCATAACACCTGAGACTGAAGATGCCTGAAGTGTCGATGCACTAGTACCTTTAGGTCAATCCACTCCCGTTTCGCTTCTTGAATTGATCTGAAGTCCTCACATGCTTCAAGAATTCCCTTAAAGTGAGAGACAAAAGTCTCAAGATCAGCCAGGCCAAAGGTAGCCAGGTCAGTGATGTCCTCTGGCCAGTTGCTAAGGTCAAACATGGTGGCAGTAGCTTTAAAGACACCATCATCAAGGCTGCCAAACCGTGTGGTGACGTAGTCACAGAAGCCATTGATACGTTTTTCTTTCACTTTGTGGAGGTTGTCATCATCCACTTGTTTCCTGTCGAGCTGTACACCAGAGTACATGTTTCCAGGAAAGGGCCCCACTTCATCCAGGAACTGCTTCAGATGCTGGCCTGGGACTGTCTGAAATACACGATAAAAGAAAAAAGTCTTTCACTGTCACAATCACTAAACATACACTGTAGCATACAAAATTCTCTCTAGGGAGTTTATTTATCAACTATTAATTTTGTTTACCTTCATGGCTACAAGAGCCAGGGTCGTCTTCTGCAGTCCATCTGACACAATCTGTAGTGTCAGCCTATCCTTCTGAAAGAGAAGGCTTAGGTCTTTCAGCTCACTGAGAATGTCAAGAAGAAGATGAACAAAAATGTCTGTCTTGAATTGCTTAAGTCCTTTCACAGTGTGGCTGGCCCGCCCCTTCATGAGGTCACTTGCTTCTCTATCATGCATGTCACTTGCGTGGCTCTCCAAATGGAAAAGGATGGCTTGGTAGTTCCTGATAAGGGCTGACAAAACCATGGAGTGTGTGCGGAAGCCACCGTGTACCATCGATAGTCCCTGGTTTGACCAGATGTATGTTGAGGGCTTCAGCCACAGTCTTGAGCTCACGGCTAGCTTTGGCTGATGTATGGTAATGTTTGTAGATTCCGTTGATACTTTTCTTCAGTTCTGTGAGAGCTGGAAAAGATTTCATGCTGTCTAATGCGGTCAGCTCAAGACGATGAGCCACACACCAGATGGTCACCAGCGATCCAAACATCTCTTTCAGCCTGGCAGACACTCCATTTCTATGCCCGATCATCACAGAGGCCCCATCACATCCGAACCCAACCAACTTTGCCTTTAGGTCATCTTCTGAGAGCCCAGCTTGGTGAAGTCCAGACATTATGGCGTCTAGGATGCCCTGGCTGTTAGCATGCTGCAATGTCACCATAGTCAACATGACGTTGACAGGTAGACCATTTTCAATATAGGTGACATAAATTATCTCCTGGTCCTGGACTGATCGGTCAACAGAAGAGTCAGACATTATAGAAAAAAATCTTGCAGCCTTTATCTTCTCTTCCAAAGACTTGTTCATGGTTTTAGCTATGTTGTCTATGAATGTCTGACAAGCGTGGTCATTTTTGTATGTGATTCCCAAGTTAAGGCCATTCTTGAAATGCAGATTCACTAATTTGGGAAATTTTGTAAAGGGTTCCTCCTCCTTTGCAACATAGTATGCTATGTTAAATAGCTTGATTAATTTCTCTTTAACACCCTGATCCATTCTTAGAAGACAGCTTGGCAGAGGTGCGATCTCAGGATTCTCCCATACTCTGAGAGCCTTCTCACAATCATTGTGAGCAGATGTAAGGACGTGCATTTTTAGTGTTCTCACACGTACATTGTCGCCACTTACACCGATGAACAAAGAACTGTCTTTGGCCTTTGCTGGGAAGGATCTGCATGTTGAGCAGTACATCATTTTGGCAGCTGGATCAAACTCGGCAAAGGGGTATTGTTGCCTCCATTCAGGAAGCCACTTCCTCTTCGCCTCTTCGCCTCCTCTGTCCTTGACCTAGGGCACTTGCAGCTCCTGAATTTAGTTAAGACAAAACATATGTTCATGTTATAATAATATAACATTACATAACATAGTAGGGTACAATGTTGTATAAAACTTTGTCTTAAAGCCCTGATGATGTCCTTGAGCCAGACCCCTGTTTTGTTTTAATATAGATGTAGAAGACAAAAACATTATCAATTGTAAAAGAAATGTTATTACAAAAGTGGTGAAATGCAACATTTGTATGAGCATTATAATCTTAGTCATTTTGATATTTTTCTACAGCATTATTTTAAACTTTGGTTTCAACAGATATACACATATTTTTTTCGGCCTGTTGGGGGAGCCCTGATCCCAAAAAATGCAGACATGCACAATGGTCAGGTCAGTTCGTTCTTGTTAAAGACATGTTTCGAGCGAGCGTGCCATCGAACGTGCCATCACTAATGCACATTGTAAGGCAAGGCAAGTTTATTTATATAGCACTTTTCAACACAAGGCAATTCAAAGTGCTTTACAAAAAATGAAAGAGATTAAGAAAATGGCATTTAAAATCAGTCATTAAAAAGAAAAGCTAATAAAAGAAACATTAAAAGAAAAAATACATGGATAAAAGTTACAGTACAGTCAATTAAACATTAAAAGAAAAAAGTACATGGATCAAAGTTACAGTGCAGTTTAAGATATGAATAGTTCAATTAAAAGCAGCGACAAAAAGAAAAGTCTTCAACCTGGATTTAAAAGTAGTCAGAGTTGCAGCGGACCTGCAGGTTTCTGGGAGTTTGTTCCAGATATTTGGAGCATAATAACTGAACGCTGCTTCTCCATGTTTAGTTCTGACTCTGGGGACAGAAAGCTGACCAGTCCCTGAAGACCTGAGAGATCTGGATGGTTCATAATTTAGCAGGAGGTCAGAAATGTATTTTGGGCCTAAACCATTCAGTGCTTTATAAACCAGCAGCAGTATTTTGAAATCTATTCTTTGACACACAGGAAGCCAGTGTAAGGACTTCAGAACAGGAGTGATGTGATGCACTTTCTTAGTGTTAGTGAGGACTCGAGCAGCGGCGTTCTGAATCAGCTGCAGCTTCCTAATAGATTTTTTAGTGAGACCTGTGAAGACACCATTGCAGTAGTCGAGTCTACTGAAGATAAAAGCATGGACAAGTTTTTCCAAATCCTGCTGTGACATTAGTCTTTTAATCCTAGATATATTCTTTAGGTGATAGTTGGCTGATTTAGTAACAGTTTTAATGTGACTGTTGAAACTCAGGTCAGAGTCCATGACCACCTAGATTTCTGGCTTTATCTGTTGTTTTGAACATTGCAGACTGAAGCTCAGCGCTAACTTTTATACGTTCTGACTTGGCTCCAAAAACCATTACCTCAGTTTTATCTTTGTTTAATTGGAGAAAGTT